GGGGCGGGGCCTCGCTGGGAGCGGGCCCAGGCCGGCGTCTCGGAACTCGCTGGAGGAAATGGGACTGCCGGCCCCCGGGCGTGGCCTCGGTGGGGGGGGGGGGGGGGGAGGAAGGAAAGGGGCGTGGTCCAGGCTCGGGGGCGTGGCCTAGGCGGAGGCTGTAAGCGGGTCTCCGAACCACCCGCCCCGCCCCACCCCCCCAACCCCCAGCCCGGGGCCGGGGCTGGGGCCTGAGCCTGACACCGCCTCCCGCCGCAGCGCGGGCGCGGCCAGGCAGCTGCTGCTGGCGGTGCGCCAGGTGACCTCATGCCTCCTGTCCGCCTGGGAGGCGAGAAGGCGCTTCCTGCCAGCTCCCTAGCTGCAGCCCAGGATTCATTGCCCTTCCCCGAAGCGGCACTTCCCCAGCTCCCTCTGTTAGATGGAGCTGCCTTTTCCAGGACAACTTTTTGAAAGTTTTCATCCCCTTAGAAACACTTTTTTTCCCCCTCCTCTGACGTCTCTGTTTTTCCCTTTGACTCTCTTGTCACTTCCATTTTGGGAGCCAGCCTAGCACCCAGGTGAATCTAATGAACACTCAAGTTTGCCAGGTGAATACCTCGCAAATATTTAGGAGGCCCTACTGTGTTCCAGGCCCCCGGTGATGAACAGTAGGGACAGGATTCCTCTCCTCCCAGAACTTAGTCTTGAACTACAACCCCAGTGTCTGCAGGCCACGAAGGACTCCCAAAGCATGTCGTGCTGTTCCTCCTGCCTAGAAGGATTTCTGCCCCCTCTTCCCCCATGCACCTGGCAAACTTGAGTGTGTATCAGCTCCACCTGGGCGCTACTCCCAGACTTGCATTATCCAACTCTGATTCTCCTCCAGAGAAAGGAGAAATTCACATTTTAACAAGCACCGGGACAATTTTTAATGTAGGGATCCTCAAACCAGAAATACTGCACTGAGGACAGGGCTGTGATACTTTAAGCCAGCCACCCAGTCGCACCCGGTCCAGGCTTGCTGCTGTTGAACACCTGGACAAACGTCACCCCCGCTGGAAACAGTTAACTTGTTCCCGCTTCTGCCTTTCTGTGATGTTTGACTCACAGCTACTCCTCCCTAATTCCCTGGTTAGTTGAATGATGAGTCCTGGAAAGGCCACACATAGATGTGTCTCCACATCCTCAGTGCACCGCAGTAAGTTTCACAGGTGATTTAATTTTCGAACAAATTAAATGTATGCCTAAAAATACAGCGAAACCTGCAGCTTCTTCCTCTCCCAGACCAAAGCAAGTTGCTCACATATTCTTGTAGGGACTCTGATAAAGAGACAGTGGACTCCAGAGGTGAGGAGCGCATGCTCTAGAGTCCCACTATCCTGAATCTTCAGAGTGTCTGAACCCCTAGCCTCGCTTTCCTTACCTCTAAGGCAAGGACAGCTACTGGTCCTGGTGTCCTGTTCAGTCAGTGATGGCTATTGTCACTGCATTGGGCTTTCTATGGCCACTGTTCACCCCTGCAGGCCGGCATGGCATCATATTCAACTCCCTCTAGGACCAGCTTGACTGTTGAAAAGAAACACCGGAGGCTGCCCCCTAAACGGGTTCATGAGCCAAAAACAAGCCGAGCGCCTGGCTGGACTCTGAACTGAACCCAGCGTTGGTTTTGCACGGAATCACGAGCTCTACCAAAGTTCCCTTCCAGCCTCCCCCTCCTCTGCCAGAAAAGGAACCCAGATGGTGAACCAGGGCAAAGCAGATTCAAGATCTACATCTACAAGATCAAATGGAATCTCAAAGAAGGCCCACCCTGGCCCCGTGGAAGGGACTGTTTCAAGGCTGGTTTTCAGAGGTGTGTCTGAGGGTTTATCAAATTCAGTTTGAATCAGAGAATGTTCGCTGTAGTGATGACCTGGAAGACTGAGCAGACTACGGATTTTTAGGCCCCTTTGACTGAACTTGGATCTTGGCTAGGAGGAAGCCAGTGGCATTGTTCTCCACAGAGCCCTGAGGTGGTGATGATCTCCCAGGCTCAGACCCAGAGGCTCTGCTTAAAACCTGGTCACTGTCATTCACACCAACTTTTCCCAATTTCCACCCCTGTGTGGCTCAGTCACGAGGATGGTCAGAGCTGGTCTGGGGAGGTTGACAGAGGAAGAGAATGTTTATGCAGGGGAGGGTCCATAAGCACACTGCCTTCAAGTCTCACCTTTGAACTTGGAGAAGCTTGCATATTTTGCATTCTATACTCATGGTTTTTATAGCACACACACTAATCTGGAAGACGGGTGGAGATGTGCTCTCCTCCCTCCTCACCCGCCCTTCTGACCTTATCTCTTATTACTCTCCCCTTTCTCTCCAGCCCAGTCAGGTAGCCTCCTTGCTATTTCCTGAACATGTCGAACACGCCCTCACCTCAGGGCCTATGCACTGGCTCTTCTCCCTCCACAAAACATTCTTTCCCCAGAATTCCTTCAATTCCCACTCCCTTGCCTCCTTCGGGTCTTGGCTCAAATGCCACCTTCATGGAGCCTCCCGGAAGCTTCTCCTGGTGACACATCCCCTCCTCCCACTCCTGAGTCTGTGGTGCGGCTGGCTGACTGTCTCACCCACTTTCCCCAATTAAGGCAGTAGCGTCAAGTACTATGTATGGCGGACCCTGGGGTCAGACTGCCTGGGATCCGATCCTGCCTCTGTCATTTGCCAGCTCAGATAACTTTTTAACCTCTCTGTGCTTCAGTTTCTCCTCTGTAAAATGGGTCTAAAAATATACCTATTTAGTAGGATCCTTGATAAGTAAATGTATGTTAAGTGCTTGGAATGGTGCGGGGCATGAGGTAAGTGCTCGGTAGGGACTAGCTGTAGCTATTATATCCAATTGTCCATAGTCTCCACCCCTGAGCTCCCATGCTGCCTGCCAGACACCTAGCTGGGTGCTTTTATATCCAATCACATTCATTCCTCAGGGTGTTTCAGTGGTTTTCACTGTGCCCATTTAACAATTAAGGAAATTGAGGGTCAGAAAAGATAAGTACAAGTTATTCAGCTGGGAAGATGGTGGAGCTGAGATTCAAACTCGCGTCTCTTCACTGCACTATATATTAAGGGGGTGTGGGAAAAGGTAGTCTTCTACCCGTCCTTCCAGGCCCAACTCAGAGCCGCCTGCTCCAAAGAGCTTCTTTCTATCAATGCTTTGGTCTGAACTCTATGTCACCCATCACAGCAGTCAGGGTGGTGCTGCAGTTGCCAATGCGGGCTTCCCTGGCAATCTGCCTGTTTTTTAAAAGTACGTTTTTATTGATTTGAGAGAGAGAGGGAAACATTGATGAGAGAGAAACATGAACTGACTACCTCCCACAGGCCCCCCTACTGGGGATTGAGCCTGCAACCTGGACATGTGCCCTGACCAGAATATAACCAGTGACCTCTCAGTGCATGGGAAGACGCTCAACCAACTGAGCCACACTGGCCAGGGCAATCTGCCTGATTTTGAATTCCAGTTGGGCAGTTTGAATTCCTAACTCAAGCAAGTTTCCTCATCACTGCAATAGAATATAACAGAACCTGACTCATAAAGTTGCTGTAAGGACTAAAAGAGATAATCCATGTAATGCATTTAATAAATGTTAGCTATTATTACTATTCTTTTCTTTTAAGTATGGAACACTTCATGAATTTGCGTGTCATCCTTGCACAGGGGCCATGCTAATCTCTCTATCATTCCAAATTTAGTATATGTGCTGCCGAAACAAGCACTATTATTACTATTCTTATCCATGTCTTCTTCCTTGGTGTGCTGTGAGATTCTCAGAGTGCAAGGAACCTTGTTATATCCACCTTTACTTGAGCAAAATATTTAACTTCCCAGCTGTGTGATTTTGAGCAAGTTACCTTCTCTAGACTCAGTTTCCTCATATAAAGTGATGGTAATTAGCCTGGCCAGTATGGCCTAGTGCTTGAGGGTCGATCTCTGAACCAGAAGGGTCACAGTTTGGTTCCCTCTCCCTTCCTCTCTGAAATCAATTTAAAAAAAATTTTTTAATAAATAAAAGTAAAATGGTGGTAATTACAATAGGTACCTCATTGGGTTGCTATGGAGATTAAGCAGGTTAATAAATGTAAAGCACTTTGTACACTGCCTGGCATGTGCTAAGTGTTCAATCAACACTAGTTATTTTTTAAATATATTTTAATGATTTTTTACAGAGAGGAAGGGAGAGGGATAGAGTTAGAAACATCGATGAGAGAGAAACATCGATCAGCTGCCTCCTGCACACTCCCTACTGGGCATGTGCCCGCAACCAAGGTACATGCCCTTGACCGGAATCGAACCTGGGACCCTTGAGTCCACAGGCTGACGCTCTATCCACTGAGCCAAACCGGTTAGGGCTCAACACTAGTTATTATTTACATTCTCCTATGCCTAAATCAGTGCCTGTGACATAATAATAATAATCAGAGTGAAAGAACAAATTTTTAAAATTTCAAACGTTGCCTTTTAATCTCCCACTTTCCAAACTTTCTATTGTTTTTTCCTCTCACTGCGCTTATAGCAGGTGCTCTGTTCATCGTTGGCGATGTCGGTGAACCCAGCTATGGAAGATTCAACTATGTCCCCATGATGTGTATTAGGTCCTGTAAAACCTTGCTAATTGTGACTTACTCATAGTTTTGGCCAAAGTCTAACCTGAATGCTGTGTCCACAGAAGCACCAACCTTTCCTGCCCCTTTGTAGATCCAGGAGCCCCTAGAGCAGGGCTGGGGAACCTGTTTTCTGCCAAGGGCCATTTGGATATTTATAGCATCATTCGCGGGCCATACAAAATTTTCAGCTTGAAAGTTAGCCTGCTATATTTGGCCAAACATTTAATTAACTCACCCCTCATGCCTTGGCAGGACCAGACCAGATGATTTCAAGGCCTTATATGGCCCGCAGGCCAGATGTTCCCCACCCCTGCCCTGGAGGAAGCAAAGTCACCCAACAAACACAGGAGCTGGAGACAATCAGTGCAGCTTTTCCAGGCTCTTGGAACAGAGTTCCAGGACTGAGTTGTTCTTCTTGGCCACAAGCCCCAGTAGATGGACCTTCACTGAGAGGAGGACCATCCAAGTACCATTTGTAACAAGGATACAGTGGAGAAAACCGAGGCTCAGAGAAGTTCAGCAGTTTGCCTAGGCCAGTGGTCGGCAAACTGCGGCTCGCGAGTCACATGCGGCTCTTTAGCCCCTTGAGTGTGGCTCACGTGCGGGCTAATTGAAACTTCGTGGCCCATGCGCAGAAGTTGGTATTTTGTGGAAGAGCCACACTCAAGGGGCCAAAGAGCCGCAGTTTGCCGACCACTGGCCTAGGCCCTAGGGCAGGGGTGGGCAAACTTTGACTCGAGGGCCACAATGGGTTCTTAAACTGGACCGGAGGGCCGGAACAAAAGCATGGATGGAGTGTTTGTGTGAACTAATATAAATTCAAAGTAAACATCATTACATAAAAGGGTACGGTCTTTTTTTTTTTTAGTTTTATTCATTTCAAACGGGCCGGATCCGGCCTGCGGGCCGTAGTTTGCCCACGGCTGGGCTAGGGTCACGCAGCTGATAAGCAGCAGAGCCAATAATCAAACCCAAATCTCTTTGTCCCTGTTGCCCGTGCCCTGCCAGCCACCTGCTCCTAACACTGCCTCAGAGAGTTCTTTTGAGTGTTAAGAAAGATAATATGGCCTGGCCAGCGTGGCTCAGCGGTTGAGCATCCACCTTTGAAGCTGGAGCTCTCCGTTCGATTCCCGGTCAGGGCACATGCCTGAGTTGCAGGCTCGATCCCCAGTATGGGATGTGCAAGAGGCAGCCGATCAATGATTCTCTCTCTCCCTCTCCCTTCTTCTCTAAAATTAATAAAAATGTATTTTTTTAAAAAAGAAAGATAATATAAAGTTTTTGACATAGTGTAGGCATTGAAAAAGTCACCTTCTGCTTCTGTATATATATTCACAAAAAGACTTTGAAAATGTTTTGATCAAGGCAAGTGAAGTAAAAACAAAAATAAATGAATGGGACTACATCAAACTAAAAAGCTTCTATGCAACAAAACAAAGAAACAAACAAACAAAACAACCCTCAACAAAATAAAAAGGCAACCAACTAAATGGAATAATATATTTACAAAAGATACCCCCAATAAGGGGCTAATATCGAAAATATATAAAGAACTTATACATCTCAACAACAAAAAAGTAAACAATCCAATTAAAGAAATGGGCAGAGGACCTGAATAGCCACTTTTTAAGGAAAACATACAGATGGCCAACAGATACATGAAAAGATGTTCAACTTCACTATTTATAAGGGAAATGCAAATCAAAACCACAATGAGATATCACCTCGTTAGAATGGCTATTATCAATAAGACCAGAAATAACAAGTATTGGAAAGGATGTGAAGAGAAGGGAACTCTCATACATTAGTGGCAGAAATGTAAATTGGTGCAGCCACTATAGCAAACAGAATGGAGGTTTCTCAAAATGTTTTAAGAATAGAACTACCATATGATCCAGCAATCCCTCTTCTGGGCATCTACCAGAAAATTTGAAAGCACTTATTTGTAAAGACATATGCACTCCTATGTTCATTGCAGCATTATCCATAGTGGCCAAGACATGGAAACAACCTGAGTGGCCTTCGATGGATGATTGGATAAGAAGATGTGGTACATAAATATACAATGGAATACGACTACTCAACCATAAAAAAAGATGAAATCTTGCCATTTGCAAAACATGGATGGATCTTAAGAACTAAGTCAGACAGAAAAGGACAAGAACCACATGATTTCACTCATCCTATATAATAAAGAGGTAATATGCAAATTGACTGTCACTCCTTCACACAAGATGGCCGCCCCCATATGGTCAAAGATGGCCACCCCCATGTGGACACAAGATAGCCAGCACGGGAGGGCAGTTGGGGGCAACCAGGCCGGCAGGGGAGGGCAGTTGGGAGTGATTGGGCTGGCAAGGGAGCAGTTAGGCGTCAATCAGGCTGGCAGGGAAATGGTTAGGGGTGATCAGGCAGGCAGGCAGGCAGGCGATTGTTTGGGAGCCAGCAGTCCTTGATGGTGAGAGGGATGCCCGATCTCTGTGGGATTGGGCCTAAACCGGCAGTCGGACATCCCCCGAGGGGTCCCTGATTGGAGAGGGTGCAGGCTGGGCTGAGGGAAACCCTCCCCTGCCCAGGTACTGGGATATAAAACAAAAAGCAACAAATCAACAAACAAAAAAGCAAACAAACTCATAGATACAGACAACAAAATGGTGGTTACCAGAGGGAATAGTGCAGGGGTCCTCAAACTACGGCCCGCGGGCCACATGCAAATACAAATATTGTATTTGTTCCCGTTTTGTTTTTTTACTTCAAAATAAGATATGTGCAGTGTGCATAGGAATTTGTTCATAGTTGTTTTTTTTAAACTATAGTCCAACCCTCCAACGGTCTGAGGGACAGTGAACTGGCCCCCTGTTTAAAAAGTTTGAGGACCCCTGGAATAGTGGGTGGGGAAAGGATGAAGATGATAAAGAGTTCAAATACAAGGTGATGGAAGGACACTAGACTTTGAGTGATGAGAATACAATGTAGTATATGGATATCTATATATATAAAAGCCTAAGCAACCATTATGACCAAATGACCAGAATGACTGGAATGACTGGAATGACTGGTTGACCAGTTGCTATGAGGCACACTGACTACCAAGGGGCAGACACTCAGCACAGGAGCTGCCCCCTGGTGGTCAGTGCACTTCCACAGCCAACCTCCTGTGCTCCCCCCCACCCCCGCCCCGCTGGCCAACCTCCCACAGCCCCTGCCGGCCGGCCCCCTGGATATGCCCCAATTGGGGGGCTGGCCAGCCAACTCCCGGGGTCCCACCCCTGATAGGCCTCAATCGCTGGCCAGGTAGAATTCGTGCACCAGGCCTCTAGTTGTATTATAAAGTTGTACTCCTAAAATTTATAGTTTTAACCAGTGTACTCAAATAAATTTAATTTAAAAAAGTAATTAATAAATTTAATACAAAATTGCCCTACCCGGTTTGGTTCGGATAGAGCGTCATCCTGTGGACTGAAGGGACCCAGGTTAGATTCTGGTCAAGGGCACGTACCTTGGTTGCAGGTTCCCTGGCCCTGGTCGGGGTGTGTGCAGGAGGCAACCAATCGAGGTGTCTCTCTCACATTGATGTTTCTCTCTGTCTCTTCCTCTCCCTCCCACTCTCTCTAAAAATCAATGGAAAAATATCGTTGGGTGAGGATTAAATAAATAAATACAATACAATGCAAAATTTAAAAATAAAAAAATCAATAACACAATTTTAAACAAACAAACATAAAACAGATTGAAGGAAGAAAAAAAGAAGTGTGCCCAGCCCTGGCCAGTTTGGCTCAGTGGATAGTGTGTCAGCCTGCGGACTGAAGGGTCCCCGGTTCGATTTCAGTCAAGGGCATATGCCCAGGTTGCAGGTTTGATCCCAGTGTGGGGCGTGCAGGAGGCAGCTAATCAATGATTCTCTCTCATCATTGATGTTTCTATCTCTCTCTCCCTCTCCCTTCCTTTCTGAAATCAATAAAAAAAATTTTTTAAAAAAGAAGTGTGCCCAACATGGGACTAGAACAAAAAAGAAAGAAAATGCTTTGATAAATTAAGAGGCATAATCTATTCTGAGGATAAGGAGACTCAAAATTATCAGGTTATTTGGTCTTTCTATATTAATCTAAGAT